CGTTGCATGTAATGTTCATTTTATCGCTTAGAGAAAGTACATGCAGCAATTACAATACCCCGTGTTCCAATAAAAATGTTTAAACAATCCACCGTAAACTTTATCACCTGTCCGACCAACCATTATATAATTCTTGTAAAAAGAACAAAAATGATTTTACACGCAATATTTTTGTATATCATACTGTACGAAATATTATTTGTTACTATTTACCTATTTAATTATTATTTATAAATTTTTATAAATTATTATTTACCTATTTATTTACCTATTCGAGAATTAATTATTTTAAATATAGTAATTAATAATAATAATTAATTCGTATGTAAATTTAATTTTGGACCATTGGCTTTTATTGTCTATCCATTCTAATCATCGACTTCGACAATGACAATTTAGAGTGTCATTAAGCTCCCGTGCAGCTTTCAAATCCCGTAGATTGTTTGCATTTTAAAATCTATTTGCTTCTACGATGCTATAAAGTATCAGAAAGAATCGAAATAGCTGTTCTCCTCCTGAGATTTCTACTTCCATAAATGTAATCCCTTCGCGATTTACTTATTTCCTCCGTGCTGACTAAATTTTACGTGGCATTACACGAAGCTCAGCAGCGTACGTTAATCTCCTTATCTATGCAGATGTCTGTAATTGCGGTAATGTCTGGTTGCTTACAGAATTACATGAACGCAGAATTACATGGAAAATGTCCTTGAAGCTACCTAATATTTCCCTATATGCGAAGCAAATTTTCTACGTACAATTTTTCTACGATTTCGATCCCTTGTGAATATAACAATATATGATAGTGGTAATAATATTATAGATTGTGCTGCAATCTGTTAACAATACTCATCAGCATATAGCTTCATTTTACTATTATTTTACTATTCCACATCTACTAGCTATCCAATTCTCTGTCTATTATATTTTTAACTATATTTAAAAATAGCAATAGCAGACAATAATTGAGATAAAACGATCCTAAAACATACAGAAATATCCAAACGAACTCGTTATCGTCGCTACAAGATTCTAACAATATCTATCGACGAAAGAAACTCCCTTCTTAAAATTAGCTATACCATAGTCTCATATAAATTATCCATAATTGAAAAATACTTGGTCCAAAAGGCACAAATTAATTTTATCCACCAAATACATCAATATTCCGTCATAAACATTCGTTCCAATTAACATTCATCGCTATTTCGATACAGACATAGAGAAAGACACGCGATATTGGTACTTAAGTCATCGAACCGAGTATGTAATCAAACGTATTCGAATCTAATCGTTATCAAGACCATGTGTACTGGATGCGACGCGTGTCTACGCGTGTAGTATATCTCTGAGGACTTCTTCATTAACGCGAGCGAGATTCGTTATCGGCGCGGTTCGTCGACTTTACGATCGTCCATCGATTTGCAATAATTATTAGCATCGCAACTTGCTGCTTGACTTGTTCAAAAATCAATTAGCCGTCGCACGTTCGAGCATAAATATGAATGATTTGCGAGCGAGCAGAGCTTGCGCAAACGATCTTCATTGGAATGTCGATCGACAATTAATTAAATTAAACAATTTGATTAAAGTTTAGGAAATTGAAAATTTGATAAGTTTGAAATCTGTAAAATGGATGTGCGAATAATCATCGGAACATGGGATACATTGGGTTCTCTGTCAGGGGCGATGCTGACCAGCTCTAACAGTATGCTACAAAGGGACGCAGCTTTCCTTATTTCCTTCTTGTAAAATGGAGTGTGTGCTGCATTTTATATTTATATTCAGTACAAGAACTTTTTTTGTTTATAATAAATTAACAAATTTTAAACTGTGTGCAGTATGAATATAAATTTATTCCAACATCTTGCAATCGTGTAACTAAACCATATATGTTTAATAAATTTCATACGGATGGTGTCATTATTCTATTGGTATAGAATTTTCGATACGAAACGTCGGTTCAGGCTTGTTAGACACGAGACTACTACAACTTCACCTAAAACACCTTCCAAGACAATAATAAACTGTTTCCCCACCTACCTGCGTATCCCCTCCAGTACTGCAGCACAGGCAAAGTTTTGCTGCTTAGTCTCCTCATTCGCAAAACTTAGTAGCAACCCTTAAACCACCAATGAAACCAATGTCATTCGATAATCACCAATAGCAATTCGGCAGGAATCTGTATAAAGACATTCGACAGCCGATATGTGCTCATTTCAACTTGAACATTTGATTTAATATGTACGTTGAACGAACTCGTCCAGCTGAACTTGACGTGCATCGATCTTACAAGTCTGGTCAAGTATTGCTAGAAACTGCAAAAATGCATGGTTTGAATGAATTCAACTTCAAGAAGATGTGGCCAGAAGGAGAAGTAAGTGCTATTGTTCAATCTTAATTATTTAAACATTCGAATTAATATTAATAATTAACAATGAAATATTTTTTGTATTACAGAGGGTTAACGTGTCTCCAATCAGGTCGAGTCTGCCATTAGCCGACACAAGGGCTATTTGTTTCATGATAAAGAGCAAGAGAACGAGAAGATTTGATTATTCGATACGACTGAACGACTTTGAGGAGGTACAACGGCACCATCTTGGATACAGAGCAATGGACAGAATTCACAGAGAAGATATCGTCAACATATCGTCATCGATGTATCATCTGTTTTACACAGAGAAAGACACCCCGGAAAACCCGAAAAAGACCCCGGGAAACCAGTACGAGACCACGGGAAACCAGTACGAGACCCCGGGAAACCAGTACGAGACCCCGGGAAACCAGAAAGGCACCCCCGGAAACCAGAAAGACATCCCCGGAAACCAGGAAAATACCCCGGCAAAGAAAGATGAATCAGACTTCGTGTTCTTGAAGCCCAAGACTTATCAGTGTTACTACTGCCACAAAATATTTTTTCATCCTACTATCTACAGAAGACACATGATTCATCAACTGAAGAAACTCCGCTGGTGCTCTGTATGCAAACGAGGATTCGTTTCAAAATTATGGTTCAAAAAACACAAATTGTTTTGTTATATGGTATAGATCATGTGCAAGACTGTTAGATAAAGGGTGTGTGGGTATTTTTGTCTACTTGGAGATTTATTTTTTAATAAATTAGGATTGGCAAATTAGAGTCGCAAAATGTTGTAAGATATGTTACAATTTCGTGTGCAACTTTGGATGAATTAATAACATTTTTAATTTTAGAACGTCCATATATTTTATAACAAAGACACTGTTCGACTGTACATTGTTAGTTTTTAAGACATTTTAAGTACATTTTAGAATTTATTCGAATAAAATACATTATTGTGCATAATAAAATGATGTATCTCTGTTTGTTCCAATTTTCAATGAAATAAAGATACAAATTTGTGTAGAAAATTGTTGTTACTTTTTTAAAATTCCTGCGCCTTTTAAAATTCCCTAATATAATTTAGAACAAGGTTACAAATTTTATTATAATAATCAATCAAACAGCGACTTTCCTACGCGAGAACGTCGATCGAAAATAGAGAATAAAATTTCATGTTTTTGACGAAATCGAGTTTAGAAATTACTTTAGCTTGCGTAAACTTGACCACTCAGCGTTCAGGTGCGAGTGAACGACCAACGACAAGTTATCTCAATAAATAAATTAATTAATTAATAAGTAAAAATCTACTAAAATAAATAATAAATAAATAAAAAGAATCTACTAGGATATTTTTATTTAAGGCCCCGTTTTCAGAAAAATAAATATTATACGTATTTAATTAAGAATTTTCAATTAAGAATGCTCAATTTTTCCTTAAATGAGTCACCCCACGAACAATTTTAAATTCTGCGTTCTTCCTATCGATTATTTCATTTTATATCTTCGATTTACTCTTAGAATCAACCCCTTTTCGACTGTATCACGTTTGCTGGCTAACGTTTAAAGCGTAGCACGCTCCCGTTGCATTAGAGAAAACTTTTTCAGAAAAAGGTACCTTCGCGATAAAATTAAAACATACAATCAATCAGTATTAGGAAATTTTGTAACTAAAGTGAAGTACGATTTGGTAAAATATTATCCAAGAACTGTAGTAAATAAAACATTAACATGAATTTTCAATATTATTTAAGCTTTATTTTATAGAAAATTATTCAATTTGTCAATAGCTACGAATCAGAATTTTTTCTTGTTAAGTCAGTTATTTTAAACATCCTCAAATGTTACAAATATCGACATCATCTTTGTCGTTTATTTTATCAGCTCTTTTAAAGAAGTACTAGAGCCTCGGATTTCTACCAGTTATCATTATTTGTCTGTTTTCCGACTCAAATTACTCAATATGATTCACGTGCATGTTGCATAGGCTCTTTTCACATTCAGTCTACAAAGATAACTATTCTTTCGTTTTTTCTATCGCATCTATTTTTATGTCAAGGTTTGGGGTGGAAATAAGAAACAATCGGAATGAAATATTGAGAAAATGTCTGTTATTAAAGAGAATTCTTTACAAACATTATAAAAAATACATCAGCAGTTTTATGTGTATACAATATATACGAGTAATATAAAATAGTTTGAGCAAAAAATGTATTTCTTTGTTAATTACTTTAAATCACATGTGTTGAAAATGTAAAATTAATATTTAAGTAGGACACTATTGTTCATTTAAAAGATGGTTACAAAAATATTTGATTTTAAAAAGCTACATTATCATGAAGATGGTTTAGTACGAAATGCTTCACTGGACTCTACTTACTATACCACAATAATTATTGAATTTAGACAAGTTATAGATATAAATGTAAATCGAAAAGTCTAAACATAGCACAAATGCTGAATAACAATAAATTCCATCGGGCTATTTTAGTTTATGATATAAAAAATGATATAAAAACTTTCAATTATCGATTACATTTTCTTCTGTGGTGTAATACATATAGAAACGTTCATAAATATTTAAAATTCCAGACAGAACGACATTTTTTTTTTTAAAACCAATGAGAATCGCTAATACTAAAACCTTTAGTATAATTTTTATAGAACGGTTAAAATATATGAACAATGGATCGAGATCCATTAATTGAGATTCTAAATAATTGAAAATTATTCCTATATTGGTGCTGTAGCAACTGTGCTGTGTCTGTAATGGATGCAATGAAAGTATATAGTATGTCGGCGAAGAATTTCGATATTATGTGTTCGCAGACCACAGCGAGTACAACGTAGTTGCTCCTCTGCGTGTTTCAGCTGGTGTTTACGAATCGCCTTTTTGTTGTAGAATCGCTTCTCACAGTACAAGCAGTTGTAGATTTTCGGTACTGCGAAAACGTGCTTTTGTTTATTCTGCTTGGGCGCGATATAAACTTCATTCTGGTATTCGTCATTATTTTCGACCTCCTTATAGTCTTCCACTGGTGGCGATGTTTGAATTTCATCCATATTGGGTACTTCAAGACCGTAGAAATCTGCATTAAGCAGAATGTTCTCCATTTGCGACAATGCAACGGGATCGTCGAAGATCGCTAACATCTACAACATTTCATATTCAAATTTCAATCAATAAGAAGTCGAATTCGCGGTGTTGTGGTCGGGGTTTTAATAATATGTTGAAGATTAAAATCGGGCAAGTTTCGAGTGTCTAGTTTGATTGTTTGCTATAGTTTGTGTAACCGAATTCTGTTTGAACGCTGTTAATTGTTACTCAAACGAATCCGGACACTTGCTTAATCAACGTACAGTTAGAAATTAGACGAAAAAAATGTTATCAAGTATAGTGTAAACTAGATTGCAAGTTAGTTATACTATAAGGGATAATATACTATATTAATATTTAATATGTTCTAATAAATACCTGATAATCAACGTCGTTAAGATTTCTTGCGTTTTCTGTCGCCATAAGTAGAAATATTTCTCGTAGGAATGCACAGGTTTGTTTAAAAAACTGATGTATTTGAAAACACAGTATGACACTTTAGTGTAAAGACTACTGTAGTCTTACTCTTAAGACAGATGCTTCTTAAGTGAAGTTTTGTCTAAGTGTAATTTGCTATTTACATTTTCGAAGGTTTCAACTACCCCCTATTTACTATGGTGGGGGTAGCTCCTTATACCTGACAAACACTTGCGATAAACTAAGTACTATAGCCAATGACCTTCCAATTTTAAGGAAAAAGCTGAGGCTATTGGTCGTCATTCGGACACTAGACTTAGCCATTGGTCTTCGACATATTTATAAAATTTTATCCAGGCGACTGATACATAATTTTTAATTGCACATATAATTTTTCTGCGAAAATTCTTCCAATTTTCTGTCTTTTGGAATTATAATAAATAAATAAATATAAAATATTTACAAAATACAAAATATAAATAAATAAATAAATAAATAAATAAATAAATAAATAAATAAATAAATAAATAAATAAATAAATAAATAAATAAATAAATAAATTTATGTTTATATTTTTTTGGTTTTATTATATATTTATATTCCGAATAGTTGACCTTTGGATCGACTCGATTGCATCCTTATGTTCCACGAAAATCAGCACAAATTGAGAACAGAAAATAGCTAAAATAGATAAAGGTTCACCGCACCGAATATACACAGTCAGGTAAGCGACAGTTATCCTTTATAATCTCGAACAAATGAACAGGTATTAAGACACTCAGTTTCGTTCCGGTGTTGCCAACTAAGTAAAATTGTCATGTGAAGTACTGGTAATATAACACTTACTTATGAATTATACTTATCTATAACAAGTATTAACTTATTATAAATAATTAACCATGAAAAAATTACTGAAAATTCTCAATGCGAGAATTGATTGTAAATATTAATAAATAAAAAAAAGACACTATGATTGTCTAAAACTAGATTGCTATTAACGTGTAATTTTTGCACATGCACTTTCATGTTTCGATGTTTAGAATCGACTCTGCAAAAATATCCCATATATTTATTAACACCCTGTACATGTAGATATATTATATAAATTCGTGCAAATAGAACAAACTATATCTCTGTTCTGTTTGCAGTTAAAAAAATAATGCTATAGGGGAAATATAAATGCAAAATAATCTATTTATTGGCTTCTCTTCTCTTTATTGATAATTGCAACAAACACTTTCCACAAATGAATATACATCTTTTGTATGTATACCGTATGTATAGTGCATCGCACTGAATGTGTTAACGGAACAAAATGTTCGTAAAGCGTTAACTTCCGATATATCACGGAAAACATCTTCCAAACAGATATACCAGAGATGAATCATCTAGCCCTTTGAACCGTGTTGAGATATTTTCAATTACGTTTCACGTATCTATATAACAGCCGCAAAATTGAAGCTTGTTGAACAGAAAGCATTTGCTCGACAAGCTTGGCTATTAATCTCGATCGTTGCGAAACGATTGATTCAAGATCGATCGGTATTGTCTCTTGTTCTGTAAGCGCGCGGTATCTCGCTCCTCTGTACCAGCAATGGCTCGTAGTAGCACTTAGTAAGTGGGTGGTACCCGAGTAATCTTGTTCTCATACATAAAACATACAGAGCAGCATTATATGTTGCCCTGCCTTCTTCTGAGTTATCGTCGAATGTGATTCGCGGTCACTGCTTTGCCCGATCCGCAGACGTCTCTGCTCTATCAGCGAGCGTTTCGGCGTGTTTCAATTACTGCAAAGCGTAAACTATGACTCGAAATGGAGAGTAATGCTTGGTACAAGCTATATGCTCATTCCAATTCTTCAGACTGTTGCAATACATTGTCGTTGCAATAAATTTGTACAGACGATACATAACGTTCATATTCACGTGTCTGTGGAATTTCGTGTTTTCATTAAAAATATACGATTTGTAATAATCATTTCCCGGCGATAGAATTAATAATCCGCTACCGAGATTATACAGGGTGGTTGGCAACTGGTGGTACAAGCGGAAAGGGGGTGATTCTACGCGAAAAAAGGGGTCGAAAATATAGAATAAAAATTTTTCGTTCGAGGCTTTGTTTTCGGGAAACTCGACATTGAATTTTCGCTCGGTACGCGTGCACTTTATCACGTCTCGTTATAACGAATCTCGCTGTAGATCGTTGTATAGATGGAAAAATTAAAAAAAAAAAATTTTTTTTAAATTCTTATTCTATATTTTCGACTTCTTTTTTCGCGTAGAATCCACCCCCTTTCCGCTTGTACCACCAGTTACCAACCACCCTGTATATAGTTTATAAAATTACATAAACTTGTGCGTTATTTATTATTTATCATCGTATTATGTATGTACGTATTATGAGAGAGAAAGGCAGAGAATCGAAATGAAAATACCTACGAATGTACGAAGGAATCTGGAAATCGTTGGAACGAACATTTATTATGGTTATTCTAGTTGCTCTAAAAGAATTTTTGAAAAATATCTTAATTGTAGCGTGTCATAGCGGAGGAGATTTCAAATTTTGCTTTATTTTAAGTCCTGTTAAACTATATCGTTTTGAGGTGAAAATACAAAGACCAAACCCATATAGCGTCTCCGCGTTGCAAGATAACCACGGTATCGGGCAAAGAAGAAGAAAAGAGCTGAACGACGAGCGTATCCTCGTGATGCAGACATCTGCATATTATGCCCATATATTTGCCGATATTTTAAATAGCGGATCGCAACCTATTATGGTGCTGACAGATTTGCACCAAGAAGCGACCCGTGAAAAGGGACAGAAAGAACAAAATGATTGCCGAGAACAGTGGCAATCAACTTTTCTTCCTCCTTCGTTCCTGTCCATGTATTATCAACAAGGTCTAACGCAGGAGCACACGATACGAGTGATTAACGAGGTTTATCTTCGAAAATTGACATGACCAAATTCTACGTCGTTGGCACGAAATGGTTGAATATACAGGGTGTCTTGGAACGAGCGTGAAAAGCTTTAAATTATTCGGGAAGTAATTCCAAGTAAAAATATCACAGGAACGCACAAAGCCTGATAATTAATTCTGATTAATTATTAGGGGGGGGGGCGGACGATCGAAATTTTGCAATTCATGCAGAATAACAATCTTAAACACACAAGAAAGATTTGTGAAGCTACTTGCAAGCCACTGGATACATCTAGAATAGATTAGACAGAAGCGTTAAGAAGTTTACTCGAAACCTGTATCTCGCTTCTGCAGTCGTCTAACGAAAAGATCTAAACGTATGTCGATCGAAGTAGAATTTTTTTTACGCATGATCAACAATTTGTATAATCAAAGGTTCCAAACGAAATGATAGCTTCCAATAGTTTTAATTACTTTCTAGTAACGTTTCGAGCTTATTTTATTCCTTGGAAGCGTCGTGATATCTAAAAGTCAAACGGTTTAAACTTCAAATCGAATCTTCGCGTATTATAAAATATAATGTTTCCAAAGATAGGGTTAGGTTAGGGTATCAATAAATCTATTATACAGGGTAGTTGGTAACTGGTGGTACAATCGGAAAGGGGGTGATTCTACGCGAAAAAAGAAGTCGAAAATATAGAATAACAATTTTTCGTTTGAGGCTTTGTTTTCGAGAAAATCGACTTTGAATTTTCGCTCGGTACGCGTGCATTTTATCAGGTCTCGTTATAATTTAAAAAAAAACAAAAAGAAATAAAGAAAAAATTTTTATTCTATATTTTCGACTTCTTTTTTCGCGTAGAATCACCCCCTTTCCGATTGTACCACCAGTTACGGCTTGTACCACCAGTTACCAACCACCCTGTATAAAATAGAGTTGCTTAACACAATTAAACTATCAAGTATCGCGGGGAAAAACTAGTCGGTAAAATAAAACAGAATCGCTACACGTGTATTACGCAATATTTACATCAAGTATTTAAATTCTATTATTAATTTCATTTGAATTCAACAAGCTTTTAATGAAATCTGCATTTTACGTTATACGTAATTTCCAATCTGCGAAACTACTTCTCAGCATTCTAACCACGATTACCTTAACCACACCCAACATACGTCGACCCGCGTCCAGATTATTAAAAGGCTTCGATGAATTCCCGCGGTTGCGTCGATATTTTTAATCAATATCGATCACAGCCGGGTTAATTACAAGGGTGTAACGATGCAACGCGGGGAAAACGATGGGCACGCGAGCGAGTAATAAATAAAACAGCCGGATGAATGAAAGCCAGTGATTTGAGTGCCACTGAGATGCACTCGGATAAGATTCGACCGATGAACGGTCCATTTGTAAGTGGAATGTTATTAAGGCCGAAACGGTATACAGGTATTAAGCAGTGATATACAATTATTGCCACGTATCGATAATTATTGATTTGATGGAGACCAGCTACCCACGTAGCGCTCGATCCCGTGCCACCATGAAAATACGATCGTTTCAAGCTCGCCTAGACGCCGTACCAGCAGCACGTTCCACGTGGGTGGATTGAATCGCTGGACGATGATATTGCGATCGACGTAGGCAGCAGGGCGCAATTATAGACGTAGATGTGCAAACAATGTATACAGAGAATACATCATCGAACAACGCGGCTTCCTCTTCATTAAGAAGCTGTTTCTTCTTCTTTTCTTCCCTCCCGCTCTCTTTTTAACCTCTCCTGTCGATTTACAACTCGATGGAAAGGATGATTCGTGGAAAATGATTTGTGAGAAGAATAGCGAAACGCGCGAGTCTTCACAGAGAGCTTTTATCATATATATATATTACTGGAAGCAGTTTGTGTCTCGTATGGTAGCTTTGTTTGAGTCGAATGGTAGAACGAGCTTGATATTGAATATCATTTGTATTTTTATATCTTATGCGTGTTTGTATCTTTAGTATCTCTTTGTAATTATTCTTTCTTTTTTTGCACGCAGTGCAGTATCGTTTTTCATATTAT